GGGGGGGGGGGAACCCCAACAAACCCAAACAAAACCAAAAAATAACCTTGATCTGAAAAATCACGGGAAATGGCTCATGCTGCTTTTGATAAGCTTTGAATAAACAGTCCTACGACAAGCCTGTTAAACCAAAATATATTACTTCTTTATCCTTGCAACCACTCGGTAGTTCTGGGAACAGAATTCAAATCTTAAGTAGAATTATAGAATATCATGAGCTCTCAGTTATTTTTTAAGACGACATACCTGTAAGATTAAGATACCTCTTCAGTCCACAGAAGGAAAAATAAATTCCTAAAAAGAAGACTGAAAGAGATTAAATGCTACAAGAAAATTATGTTTAACCAAACAGAAGACCTTGATAGAAAATTCTCACTTGTGGCCATCAGCTGTTATTCAGCTAGATCTTGTCACAGTTGCAAAAGATTGGGGTTTGGGTTTTGTGTTTGCTTAGCTACTTTAGAGTTATAAGTATTATACAGAACACTCTAGGGATCTAGAAAAGCCATCTGGAAAGAAACATTTATAAACAAACTGTAGTTCTCTGGTTTGATCTGGTCCAATATTTCTGCCCTTAGCATCTTACAGTATAAGATTGCTCGGTGCTCCTTCTAAGGGCAAAGACTTTTGTTCAAAATTCATATTGAAACTTTGCTTCATTTATCCCAGGGAAAGTAAGAGGCACATAACAGAAAAAGGGCTGATGGCATTCCACTTTGAGCTCCTGAAGGATGAAGAGAGACCTGACAAATTGTTGGGAATGGACATTCACTGATAGACGAGGAAGAAAAACCAGTCCTCAATTGCAAGGCTTTTCCAGGTAAGAGAAGCATAGCGATACCTAATGGAGAAATGGGTCTTTCAATCTCCAAACACACTGCTGACAGCCTAGCAGCAGACCATCAGATTAATAACAAAATCTGGAGGATAGTAGAGCATCTCAAGATTACAGAAATCTCATCCAAAGGAGGAAGTAAATATCCTGGAGTGAATGTATATAAGGGTCCAAGGAATGAATGTCTCAGGACAAAGATGTTTGAAAAGCTCACATACCTCACGTTGCTCTCTGAACTTTCTTTTCTTTGACATACAGCATTACTAGAAATTGCTGTCCTTGAAGTCACTCAGTTCTAATGATATTTTAGGCTTTCAATGCAGCACAACTACCATAAATTATAACAACATTTGATGTGCATTTAAACATTTCGAGGTAATCTGTAAGATGTCATCCACCAAGGATAATTATTATTAATTTTACAGATAGAGAATAGTTTGTCCACTCCAAAGTCACACAGCAGATAGCAGAGTTCATTGTGCACTGGACAAACAACAGTGCAAGGGGGGGAATGTGGCTTCCCAAATAACAAGGATTTAGGAACTCTATTATAGCCCACTCAAAAGAGGCTGAAACAGCTTTCCTCAGTTTGACAGTTGCAGCCATACAGGACAGAAAGGCTCTGTAAATACCTGATTTTAGACTGATAGGGGGGAAAAAAAAAATCAGGATCCTATCAATCACATTTTAAAATTTTACTCACAAATTAAATTAATAGATTTCATTTACTCTTACAAACATTTCAGTTTTGATGCATTTTTAACAAAACCAAAGTGATGTCAATGTCTTACACCCAAGTTGCAGTCTGGGGGGTGGTCTTTTCACCTCACTGCTGGGGAACTTTCATGATGTGAAAGAGAGAGATACACAGTTCTGCCACATAACTAAAAGGACCATGGCAGGACTCTGGGATGTTAAGAGTATGGGAATGGTAGATTCAAGACCCATTTCCCAAGAAAGTGCTTAGACCATTGTGGTATGCAGGAATATGAAGGAATTGTTGTAGCAGGTTAGGTAAGTAGTGGTTTTTTACCAAGCCTCCCTGCTGTACTATCAATATAAGCCTGTGGTCGCTATAAAAGCTAGTAATGTTCCAGAGATCATGAACTTAGGGAGTATGTTTGTGACTAATGTCTGTTTAATGTTTAATCTATATTACAAGTAATTTAAAATAAGGTTTAGGGAAATAAATTGTTCAGATTGGAATAATTAAACAAGAACTGATGAAAAAATCCTTTACTCATGCAAGTTATTTGCCTCTTGACTGAGCTATGAAGTACAGGCATGTTCACGCAGCCTTGCTTTGGGGCGCAAGGAAAGTGACACAGGTCATTAAAACTGCACAGGCACCACGTGAGAATGGCAAAGGTGGCTGTAGAATAAAAATGAGGAAGTACATGGCAATTGTCACCTAGAGCTGAAGTACTTCATTTGGCGAGATTAGTCATGAAAAGTACATGATTAACTCTTAAAGCTGATACAAGGCACCATAAAAAAGAAATACATGAACTGAAAATCAGTAATACAGAAAAGAATACTGGGAATTGATGGGCCCATGGGAGCTCCTTCCCCAGCTCCCTGCCTTGCTTTAGATTTAGAATTCAGGACATTATTCAGAATATCACAAACATTGTGTTTTCTGAACAGCAAATCCAACCGTTAGGATTTCATGCATCAAAGTGGGGTGGTCTTAAGTTCCCTTCCCTTCCCTTAAAAAGGTTCAGTAAGAAGTACTCTGAATCAGGTAACAGTGATGTGATTTAACTGTGGTGTGCCAGACAAATCATCAATACTCCAGATAATTATTCTAGGCAGTGCTAGGCAAAATAGGACTAAAAGTAATGTTCATCCTCACTTTGTGATGCTATCTTGAAAAATGTTGGAATCAAAACTACATGTGTGTTTCAACATGTTTTGGGATTTAAAACACTTTCATGAATACATGTATTCAGCCAAAGAAAGTTGTAGGAAGAAGAGGACTGAGCGTCAGTGAAGTTATTGCTGTGATAACCCTCAACTAGGAAAGAGACTGTTTTTCACCACTTTTTCCACCTGCTGTGGTAAAACTATAGCCCAGTTTTCAAGTTTTAGAACACTCAAATGTTAAGAAACAGATCTTAGAAGACTAGCGTAATACAGAGCTCAGGGTTTTTTTTCCGCAAAAAAAGAAAATCCATGTACAATAAGGAATGAAATTAAACTGCATAAGTGATCAGCACACATGCATTTCATCATTTTGCTTACATACACAAGTTCTGAGTCAGGAACACTCACTGAAACGTGCTACTCTTGCAAGCACTACCTACTTTGCTCTGCTATTAATCACTCGTGATGTAAGCACTCCCACCCATTTCTGAGAACAGTGCAGGCAGTCTGATAACTCGCAGGCTTCAAGCTGCCCTCATAAAGTTGTTCCACTTTTGCATACTTCCTCATACTGCTAGTTTCTCTGCAAAGATGAAGCTGCTTGTTTACATAGTCTTGCTGAAGACAGCTCTCCTTGCCTTAACAAATGTCTTTGCAGTTGTTTTAGTAGATGAAGAAGATGCTAAAGAAGGAAAAGTTATTGAGACTTGTCCTATAAAGCTCAAAACTAATCGGAAATGTGATGAAGGAGAGGATTGTCCATATCAGATAAATCTGCCTCCGATGACCATCCAGCTACCCAAAGAATTCAGACTGCTTGAGAAGACTCTCAAAGAAGTACAGACCCTTAAAGAAGCAGTAAACAAGCTGAAGAAATGCTGCCAAGATTGCAAGCTGCAGGCAGATGACAACCAAGAAAGAGACAGCAGTAATGAATTCCTGCTACCTAATGCAGAAACTCCAGCAGAAAACAGCAAAATCCAAGATAACAGAGTAAGGGAATTACAAAGCAAAGTTAATAAGATGGCAACCAGTTTAAAAAATGCAAAGAACCAGATTCAGACACTGCAGGGTCGTCTAGAGAAGATGAGTCTCGTCAATATGAACAATGTAGAACATTATGTTGACAGCAAAGTTGCTAATTTGACATTTGTTGTGAACAGCCTTGATAACAAATGTTCTTCTAAATGTCCAGCAATGCAACCAAGACCTGGTATGTAACCTGTTAATTCTTACTGCCTGTATAAGCTTTCTGTGCATTTTACAAATATTAGGTAAACCACTTTAGATATTTTAACCAAACAGCTATGTCATTAACTTCAGGAGTTAAGTATTTGCTCTTTTTGCGTTTATTTATAGTCCTGTAAAACGTTTTGGCTGCCACTAGAGGGTTACTGGGAGCTGCAGGTGTTCAGTTCCTCCTAGAGTTAGACTTCATTATGGGATTTAAAACGTGAATTTTCAAAGGATTTTTTTTCAATTCAATTAGTAAATGTGAAAAATTAACTTTATTTTACACTGTACTACACTTCATTAAGAATATTAAATATCAGATAACTATGTATTTTCTTCTTGGATGAGAAGGGGTAAATTTCCTCTAGGTGTGCCTTAGAAAGCTGCATGGGTTTTTTTTTCAGTGTGAAACTCCAACTATTACGAAAAGTTCTGTGAGACATTATTAAATACCAAATTAAGCTAGCAAAATTGTTTGGTTTGGATAATGAAATAATTTTTCTATCATCACACCAAATATCTGAAAGGCTCAGCTAAAAGAAGCTTATTAACAGTATTTCTCAAGTAGGTAACATGTACCATCATTTTAGCAGTAAACACTTAGCATCAATCTAATATATAAGCAATACAAAACAGAAAACAGGTGTTATCACTAATAGACACTGTTTTCTTTTACTTTTTAAGTGTCCCAATTAAAATAAAGAAATAGAACTAATAATTTCTTTCTATTGTTGACTGTTATTAAGGGAAGATTGAGATTTTTTTTTTAAAGTCATGAAGTTTTTATATCACTTATAAGAACCTTTGAAAACAAGAAATATTCATTAGATTGTCAGTGTATTCTACCACTTAGCTATCATATGTATAAAGATAGGGTGATCTAGAGATAAAGCAGAGAAAGATCAGGCTGCCTTACAGTTTCTAAGCCCCTGTTGCTTAGCATTCAGGTTTAAAATAAAACTGTTCTTCTGTCTACCCATACTGAAAATTGAAGGAGCTGCAGATGTACAGTGTATGTACAGCTGCAGTTCTTGAAAAAGCAAATGAATAATAATAAAGGTGATACTTTTACTATATCAACAATCAGCTAAACCAGATATAAATTAGCAGAAAACTATTACTTTTTTTGTGAATGTTGTATATGTGAATTAGAATGAGTAATATTTGGAATATTGATAATGGGCAATGAATAAAATTCAAGCACAGTACTTCATAACAGACTAAAATAATTTTAGCTATTTCTCACACTTACTGGAATGCTGGGTACTGTTCATAGCATATGATCATGTAGATATTCCTTACATTTTACAGTAACCGATGCTAAGTGTTTGCACTTTCATATGCATTATGAAAACTAGCAAGGATAACAGCTACAACTTTTTCCTATACATGAGATATTCCTCCATCCACTGAAAGTAATAGCAAAACCTTATTTAAATAGGAGTTGCACTGGATTATAAAAGCATTTTATCTGAAATGTATATTCTCCATCTATATCTCCACTGAAACTTAGTCCACCAAAGATCTTACATAAACTTCAGTGAAATCAATGAGGATCTATTGTGGATTCAGATTTGGCTTTTAAGCCTTTGATTCCTATACTTTGTGCTTCCACAGATTTCCTGTTTTCTCTACTGGCAAAGAAGGCATCCTGAGTCTTGAACACAATGTCATTACTGGGTGTCACTGTGGATCAAAAATGTATTTTCACTCTGCAGGAAGGAACGGGGAATCTTTTTGTTCTGAATAACATACATCACTCATCAGTGGAAAAAAGCTGTGTGAATGGTAGATTGTTAGCACATCTCTCGTGTTTCCCTTCCTTACTGTAAAGCCAGCAGTGCCACATGCACAGGAAAGCACCATCACTTTTCTAGCTTCATCTTTCTAGGAATCACAGTATTACTACAATAGATGAGACAATTTTATTACTTTTTTCCTTCTTCCTTAAGTACAGTCAACATTAACACATAAAACATTCCTAATGATGTTATGTTCTGTATCAAATTATGTCAGCTGGACAATAGCCAGGTCAAAGTCATTCCCATATGGACAAAGCTTTTTCTCTGACATACTGCCAGATGAAGACTTAAATTACAGACAGGGTGTGATGGTATACATTGAAATACAAAAAGCAGCATGTAAACATGAAGCATTAGAAATATGGACTGAAGAAATCAGGCTGAATTTATAGGAGGTAATGAAAAGAGTAAAGAGTAGAGTAGAGAAAAGGAGAAAGTGGAAAACAGACAATCAAAATGTCCTTACATTTGGCAGTTTAGCTACAAAAAGTAATTTTGCTGGATTTTTTTGGACAGCTATCTGATGCAGAAATCCTAAGTGGCATCTATTATAGAGTAAACCTGATGGAAAAAACATGTTTCTCCCTAGAACTGAAATGGTTGTAAGACTATTTCTTATGTAAAAGTCTCTCCAATCCAAGTTCTGTATGCTACAACAGTCTGAGTAAAAATTTTATTTTAAAAATGCCATTATGTGTATTCTAACACCGTCTGTTCTTCCACCAGTTATACAAATAATGCAGAGAGACTGTGCTGACCATTACACAGCAGGCAGAAAGAGTAACGGAATCTACAGGATTAGCCCTGACCCCAGAAATGACAGCTTTGAAGTTTACTGTGACATGCAAACACACGGAGGCGGCTGGACAGTGCTGCAACGGCGTCAGGATGGTAGCACTAACTTTAACAGAACCTGGAACGACTACAAAAATGGCTTTGGAAACCTTAGCAGGGAGTTCTGGCTGGGGAATGACAAAATTCACCTCCTGACAAAGAGCCAGGAAATGCAACTGAGAATTGAACTTGAAGATTTCAATGGCATCAGAGAGTATGCGAAATACGAACACTTCTATGTGGCCAACGAATACCTGAAGTACCGACTAAGTGTCCACGGCTACAGCGGCACAGCAGGAGATGCCCTTCACTACAGCAAGCATTACAACCACGATCAGAAGTTCTTCACAACTCCAGACAAGGACAACGACAGGTATCCTTCAGGAAACTGCGGGGCATACTACAGCTCTGGCTGGTGGTTTGATGCATGCTTGTCTGCCAACCTCAACGGCAAGTACTACCACAAGAAATACAAAGGTGTTCGCAACGGCATTTTCTGGGGTACATGGCATGGCATTTCTGATGATATTCCCAGTGGATATAGGCAAGCCTTTAAATCAGTAAAAATCATGATCAGACCAAAAAGTTTTCTGCAGTAATTCTACAGCTTTCTCTTAACTAGTTTGCATTGGATTGCACTCAAAATCATACTTACTCAGTATTATACTCAAGTATTCAGTTATGTTTGGCACAAAACAGTTCTAGACAAAACAGCATACTTGCACATAAATGTTTAAAGATGGTTTGACCCATATAATGTATTAAAAACAGCATGAATGTTTCTGAATACTTATTGCTAAAACTCAGCACTGGTTAAGTCTTGGTATCATTATGTAAATATTCTAAACATTGCTTTTGGTGCTTTTACTGACTGTAATATACCAGATTTTATGATTTCAAACTTTTAAATGGTCTTCCACAAATTGTGTCTGAATGAACACCTATATTTTAACCTGAAAATAACTCACAGGTATAACAGATAACATATACATTTATCATCACTTAGAATGAAAACTAGTCTCTCTGAAACTTTTTTGTACCGTCTGTCTTTCACAACTTCAAAGGTATACCACGGCACTATCAACATAAATTAGGAAAAGTACTGCAAATTATTATTTTTAAAGGACTAGGAAAAGAGGGCCATGTGGTTTGCTCAAAGACACAAAAAAAAGCCTTGAAAAAAACTTAGAAAATTTAGAAGATTCCTTATATCTTATCCTCTTCTTCAAATACCATTATAAAAAGTTGGTGAAAGAATTGAATTGAAGCAAGTGGAAATAATGTAGAGAGGATGTAATGAAAGACAACATTTCTTGCTCATTTTGGTTCCTCCATTCAAGCTTAAGATCCTATTTGTCATCTGTGGGAAAAAGGAGCCATTATGTAGCATATTGCACATTTGTATAGGCAGGTAGACAGGTAGGAAGAAGACACATCAGGAAGAATCCATGTCTTTGCATTAATGCCTCTAAATATATACATGAAGAGTTTCCAGCACCATTTTGCTTTCTCCTGAATCTTCTAGGTTAAGCCAAACGAAACATTACATCATCCTTGTAGAAACTCAAGCTCTCATTTAAGTACTCTAGGTACCATTAGACCTTAAAATTGTAGAAAGATTGTAAATATTTTGTAAGATCCAAAAAGATTGTGTTCTACCCATTTCCTGAGTACGCCTTTTGTAGCCACAGAAACATGAACAACCCATTGGCAATTATAAACAGGAAAGAGAAAATGTGAAAGACTTTTTTCTTCTAAAATACAACAAAGGAAACAATCAAATTTCCAAATACTTCGGGAAGTGCAAATTACTATTATTATAGCTCATGTTGTAGATAAAGAACACGAATTTGACTGTTTGTATCTATTCCCTACCCTAGAAAGGACATGTCTCTATAACTGGAGTGACTGCAGGGTTGGAACTAGATGATCTTTAAGGTCCCTTCCAAACCAAACCATTCTATGGTTCTGAGCAGAGATGCAATTTATCTTAGCAAAGGGCTATTTTGTTGTATTGCTTATACCAATCTTGAGATGCAGATGAACTATTCTAGGACTCGATTTCTTTACCAGTTAAAGTGTGGTCTTTGCTGGCACAGGTTTTTTGGTTAAGAGACATACCAAAAGAAAAAAAAACTATACACCTGACCTAATACTTTACAAATATGACCTTTACTGTTTTTTAAGATGGTAACTGGTTACAAGTTATGCAAATAAGCAACAGTAGCAATTGCTAAAGTGTAAAATATTAATATATGTATTTTAAGGAAGTAAATACTTTGAAGGATATTTGAGTGTGAAATGTAATTTGGTTTATTTTATTTCAATTTGAAAGAGTAATGGAAAATTTTAATTGCAAGATGTATAATCTTTGTTTAAGAACATGTTTTGAAGCTATAGAATATTTATTTTGGGATAAAAAAGGATGCCTAAACAAACCAACAAAAAAAAAAAAAGCAACTTACGAAGTATTGGTTAGAAGAGCAAAGATCTAATTGCATATGATTCTATTTAATAATTTTGCATGAAATGCACAATTTGCTCCTATTCATTATATGGTAACAGCTAGGTATGACTTAGAGTATCTACAAGCTTCTACTTGAAATCACCTTTTTCGTGCTAAGTTGTTAGAAAAGAAACTGTCCTTTTTTAAAATTGTGTTTAAAGGAAACTTCATAAAACATAGACATTTTAACAAAATAAGTAAATGTGACTAATATCACCTACAAAAGCCTTGTCTGAAATTAAAAAAAAAAAAAGTGTAATGTTGTTACGCAACTCTGAATATTACCTGTCTGGAACTGTTGTAGCTGAATCTTCATCAGTGTGTACTAGTTTTACAAAGTGTAACTCCATCTACTTGTTGCAAGCATTGTTTTTGTTTTTCCTTGGTGTAATAAAATTAAGTCACACTGTTAAAGCTGTACTACTGTCCTAGATGCTTACGGGGACTGTCCAAAAAATGCTCATAAATTGTTTTATTGATTTTCTGTAAAAATTGAAGCAATAAGAAAACAGAGATAACTTTCGATGACCAACAAAGATGACTATATGGGACATGTCAGCAGAGTTCTATGTTCTATGACAACTCAGCTGGCAGATAATACCAAAGACCGAAACCTCAGATATCTCTGTGAAACTATTAACATTTTGGAAGAGAAAAAAAGTAATTGCCCAATAGTTTACACAACCTGTATCTTTAACATGAAAGAGGAGAAGCAAACTCATCTGTTTTTTATATAACATGCTTGACCTTTAAGATCACATACAAGTTTCATCAAAGCATGTGAATAGAAATAATACTCCAAATGAAAGCACAAAATTTTTTATACAAAGAAGAGCACTTGGCCTCTGCTTAAGGCTTCATAATTCAAAACATGTCTTTCAAATTACGAAAAACATCTAACAGTGATTATCGCATGAAAACACTTGTGGTTTTAACTTGTTAATATTTAAATTGTGAATTGTAGTGAAGAAGATTAGTAACAGCAGGTTTGCTAGCAAAATTCCTATGGGTTGTTTCCAAAAAATAAAAGCATAAACTCATCTGTTCAAATTGACCAGCCAAGCAGACTGTAATGTCTTGGCTTTCTATGCATTGCTAGAAATTTTTAAAAAAAAAAAAAAAAAAAAAAATCAGAAACCCCTCAGAAGATAGAGGAAAAGGACGTCTGAAATCAATGATTTAAATTTTTTTTTCTTCCCCTTTTTATGCAAATATCTATTTCCTTAATGGTGTTTTTGGGGAAACACTGCAGTCAAACTCAGAAAGTGAGTTGCGAACAACAGATTGTTTGACAATTTGGTGGAAAACAAACTTGGAATTATGTGATTATTTTCAAAGGAAATTAAGATGGTTCTTAATCTATACCTAGAACATAATGTTTATAACTTAGTCCAAAGTCAAACATGAAAAAAAGTGCCAAATATACTGAGCTTCTGTGAATTGTGTGTCACAGACAAATCAAAACAGGAAGGACGTAACTTCAAATTTTCATAGAGAAAAGAGATAAGAAATAAATACTGGCCTACCAAGAAAGAGGTTTCAAATATGTTTTTATAAACATCTTTGCTGTTCTGTTTTTTCAGGAGACAAAAGAAAAATAATAAGGTATATATGGGCCTGAAGACATTGACATAAGTTTCAAAGAAAAATGGCTACGGAATACCATCCACAGGCCCTGCCAAATGCAAACACTGCACTTATTAAACCGATCTCTTTCATTCACAGCTTTAACGAAACTTTTACAGAATTACAGTATGTATGCCAGAAGTGAATTTGGCCATCCCCCTCAATGGTAACCAGAAACAGAAAACAATGTTTTACGATGATCTGTTAAATCCAATGCTCACACAAATCATGAGAACAGGATATGAATCAATATTATTTTTTATGCCGTCGTTCATCAGTTTTTTCTGATCTTAGTAAAAGAAGAAACGGTTTGGAAAATAATCAATAGCTAGAAAAAATATTTCTAATTACCTAATTATGTTCATGTAATCAAGACAAACTGTAAGTCTAGTTAATATTACACTTCTGCTGAAACAGTTTGCCAACATTTAGAATTACAGAGTAGAAAATAAGTATGTTTTACACGCTTATTTTTAAGCAATTACATGGAATCAATGATTTGAATGGAGAAGAAACACAAAACATTTTGAGAAACAGAAATTCACACTGAGAATAAAATGGACGGAGCATAAAAGCCCCTCTGCTTACCTCTCAACCACTATATGCTAACTGAACAATTCTTTCTCAGGCAAATCTTCAAGGCTCTGTTCATTAAGGAGTATTTGAACACAGGTTTTTTGAATAAGTAAACCAGAAATCACCTTTTTAACTTTTAAAGTAACCTAAACTGTATTACAGATGATTCTCCACCACTGGACATTTTTATTGAACGTATGTTTGGTTAACATTCCTCTGGCTTCCTCACCACGAGCTTTTGCTGACACACACATCATAAGCCAAAGCCAGGTAGACTCACAATTTTAGTACAAGATTGCCCCGTTTCGGAATATCAGACCTCACATACATATTTTGGGTGAGACAAGGGGATGAGGGAGATAGCTTTGGAACATAAGGCAGCAATATGCTTGCCTTTTTAAGTCTCAGGAGTCTCAGAAATTGTTGAGAAAAAGCTAAAATGCAAGGTGCTGCTGCAATTAAAGGTTACTCCTTCTCCTAGCCTCGCAGCTTTAGGGAGCTGCGTTTCCTCTGTGTGGCATGAAATATGCACTTGAATTTATAACATCACAGAAGAAACGACATACCATAAATGCTTTCAAATATGCTTTTCATACATGAACAGAACTACCACCTGCTTTGTGATAATCTGAACACATCCAACAACTTCCTTCCTAGCCCTGTTTCCTCACAATGCCACCTGCTAGCAGTAAAAAAGATCTCTCAATGGAAAGAGCATACTATGCTAGCTCTGTTCCCACTCCTGTTTAAAGGCATCTGCAAATTCAGCCTACTCCTCTAAAACTTTTTATAGGAGTTACCACCAATTGGAATAATCAAATTTCCTATCACATCCATTAACACTGACTGTGCAAACTATTGCTTGTTTGCTGAAAGCTGTTGCAAAAATCCCCAGACTCTGGCTTACACACATATTATCATCCCTAGCTGACTCCTCAAGTGACCATATCAACAAAGTTAAAAACGGTTTATTTAATTAGCAGTCAGATTCCTATGTGTGGAGGTGGAGGCAACATCTGTCTTTGCTGTCTGTACCAATATGTTTATACAGCCTTTTTCTTGTGCCAGGAGTCTTTGAAGCATGTAATGTGGTGTGTGCCAGGATCAGCTTTAGTTTGAAAATATTGTTTGCATTCAACAGCTGTGTTAAGATTTTTACATCTTTGACAACGCAC